CCTGCTTCATTAGATTTAACAATTTTGGCAGCTTTGAGAATAGGAAAATACAGTTAACCCCCCTGTGCTCTCTCAGAAGATGACGGTGGAGCTGCAGAACGGAATTTTCATACAGATCAATGGCTACTCACTGGCACACGTGATCCAGGTCTCCTCTGAGGGGCTGGCCAATCTCTGCTTCCATGGATCCGACGTGCACTGCCACAACACATTTGGTCCTTTTGGACACTGAACATTGTCTACCCACATAGGCCTGGAATTGGTCTTGTCTAAAGACGCAGGGTTGATGGTCCCTTTGTCTGCACAGCCCAGCTGCCTGCAAACCACGCCCACGGTGTTTGCAGACATGTTATTCCTGCCAACGCTGCCCCAGACTCCATTGTAGAAAACTTCCAGGCGCCCTGCACAGGTCTTTTCGCTGGTTTCACTGGTTAGTCTCAGAGACATGAACTCTGCAGTGAAATAAAGAATTAGCAATTTTGCATCTTTGAAGATTTAGAAGACCCCCTCCCATTACTCTGCTGTGAGAATGACTAAAATAACAGGGACAATATGTAAATTAACAGTCATTCTTTAGTAGCTCCTCGGTGATTGAGTAGATTTTAGACACAGTATTTATTCTATACATACCATAGCGTTTCTTAGTCTTCGGTTTTGTTCTCAGGGACCTGTTTAAAATGCCATCAATGACTCTAAGATTGTTTTTAGATCTTAATCAAAGGCTCAGAGCGTTTTTCTTCTTCCTCCAATTATGCAGTTTGGATTTTCTCCCTAACTTACTGTAATTTTACCCTCAAGAATCTTTTTATTTATTTGCTTATTTTTGGCAACTGTTTGATAATTAAGATTTAGTGAGACACTCAGACACTGAAACTAATGTTTTGTGTACGTTATCTTAAAATGCAATACGTTCTTTTCTGACACGTCTTGCTTTTGCTGTGTAAGCTCTCATCAGATTTATGTCATTAAACAGAAATGAATCATTCCTGACATACAGAAATTTTCACTTCCCTAGGTTACTGAATTATAGTACTGCTTTCCCCTATATACATGGGGTTTCAGAAAGTTCATGGAAAATGTGTATTATGAAAAAACTAAGCATGGATTTCAAAATTCTTTTACACCAAATAAACTCATTCTTTAATCTCATTTTTACACAAGCATTTTGAAGTCTCCTTATGTTACAGTAGAGTACAGTTTTTTTACTTTACTATAGTTTCTAAAGCTCACCATGTATACAATGCAAGTGCCTCATGGTAATTTTTGCTCCTATATCTATATCTATCTATATCTATATCTATATTTATATTTATATCTATATCTATATCTATATATCTATCTTTTTTTTTAAGAGAGATTTTTGCTGTAGGCCACGTGTGCTTGCCAGAGAGACAAAGTGAGAAATCACTCCTCTGGAAGAGATGGCCACACCACAATCCCTTCTCCTCCAGTCTCTTCTTGGGATTTTGGGCACGCACGCACACACGTCTGATGTGAGTTTCAAGCTACCGGGTCCAGGACTCAAAATGTGGTCGACTACGTGGGAGTCCAGTGTTATAACCACTATGCCATCTGCTGGTCCGCTCCTATAATTTGTAATTATCCTTTGTTCGATAGATTGACACACAGAAAACATTTCTTCTTGTCCTTTCTGATCTGCTTCTTTATTAATATTGTAATAATCAAGAGGTGCTGTTGAATCCTTATCCAATTTTCAGTGCTATATACGCTTATAAAAGAACTTTATTATGAACCTGTTGTCCTTTTCATAATATGAAAACCTGTTTCTAGGTTTTTCTCTTTATGTCTTATACCACCTCGCCCATGAGACAGCAGTAGCCCATCAGACTCATACTTCTGGGATCTTGCCTATGGTTCAATTATTTTACAGATCGCTGTCCCTCACCACTCTGCCCACCTCGGTCCTTTTCGGTGCAATTGTGACCAGAGGTCACCGGCAGAACGTACCTGAGCAGACGACTCCCGCATCCTCCTTGTGTCTGCAATTCTGCCGTCCCCAGCCATGGGAGTGGCACTGCCAGATATGGGATTCCTTTCCATTACAGTTCACCTCATCCAGCCAGATGGGCCCTGTTCCTTCCCCAAAGTGGGCAGAACCAGTGGCATTAATGGCCACTCCACAGCCCAGCTGTCTGCACACCACGTGGGCGTCACTCAGGTCCCAGCTGTCATCACAGATGGTACCCCAGGAGCCCTCATGGTAGACCTCCACTCTCCCGGCACAGCGACCTCCTCCGTTTACCAGGCGAATTTGACCACTCGCTGGAAAGAAAACCAAAGGTGTGAGTCAGGTGCATCCCTAAGGTTAGAGGTCATTTTCAGAGTTTGGCCACTGAGTCTTACCTATGCAGGGAACGGCACTTTCTTCTGGAACGGTAGAGCTGGTGGGATCCGGAGACGATGCATTGCATGGGGACAGGGTCTGGGACTGGTTTCCTGCGAACAGCAAACTGCTCAGTCATAACACTCACCAAGGGAGGGTGAGGAAGGAAGGCCAGAAGAGTACAGATGAGTTGAGGACAAACACGGCTTCAGAGAGGGAGGAACATGAACGGCCAGTCAGGTCGGGAGAGAGTCAGGTGCTCTGAGAGGGCTTGGCACAGGCAACTAAGAAGTTCATGAAAATTAAGTTCACTCACTCTTTAAAAAGACACATGAGATCAATATATATAGTTTACATTTGCCCGAGGGCACGTGCACTTGCCAGAGAGCGGGAGAGGGAGAAAGCACCCACCAATGGGGTGTACTTACACCGCAATCCCTTCTCCTCTCTTTTTTTTTCTTTCTTTCTTTTTTTTTAATAATTATTTATCTTATTTTATTTATTTATTCATTTATTTTTTAAATTGACCAGAGAGAAACAGAGGATGAGAGTGAGAGAGAGAGGAAGCGAGAAAGCAAGGCACCAGAGTCCAGCACCTGAACCCCCCCGCCCCCTGCTGGTCCCTCCTCCCTTTTTTTTTTTTTAAAGAGATTTTTGCTATAGGGCACGTGTGCTCGCTGGAGAGACAGAGAGACAGAAAGTGAGAAATCGGCCCCCAGGGGAGAGGCCACGCTGCAGTCCCTTCTCCTCCATTTTCCTCTCTCCTCCATTTGGGAGGGATATGGGGCATGCAACACAGGCACTGGCCATTTTTCAAGCCTCCAGGGCTGGGATTTGAACTGCTTAGTTGGCCATGTAAGATCTGCCTCCATTTACTACCAGGCTAGGCCATGGAGTCAGCCCAGGATTAATATTCTGCCACATTTCTCATGACCCCTCCAAACGGATCATTCCTTTTTCTTCTCTCTTCCTCTCCATAGTCGCACCTGCTCCTAAGGGACACCATGACCATAGAAGCTCATCACAGGCCGCGCCCCGTCCTCTTACCTGAGCAGACTACAGAGGCCACTTGCCCTGCAGAGCACGGGGGTGCCCCCAGGGCGGTGATGGGACAGTCTCCTATGTGCTGTTCCGTCCCCGTGCAGTGAAACATGTGCCTCCAGACATGGCCGTTTCCTTTCCCAAAATGTGCTCCTCCTGAGATGGAAAGGGCAACTCCGCACTTGAGCTGCTGGCAAAACACGTGGGCGTCTTCCATGTCCCAGTGAGAGCTGCAGAGGGATCCCCAGGTCCCCAGCATCTTGAGCTCCACTCTTCCCTCACACTTGGACTTGCCCTCCGCCAGGCGGATTTCTGTGTATCCTGGAAGGAGACGGGGCTTTAGAAAGGACGGCTGTGACCACTCACCCCTACCGCCTTCCCAGCAGGGGGACGGATGGGCGATGTTCTCTGGGGCTCACTTGAGCAGATCACTCCAACGTCCCTGCGATGGCTGCAAGTTGCATCCGGCTGGGGCGCCACTTTGCAGAGTGCGAGGTGGGACTCGTGTCCCTCGCACTGGTACTCTTCAGCCCAGATCTGTCCACTTCCTTCTCCAAAGTGAGCTCCCCCCAGGATAGAGACGACAGTGCCACACTGTAACTCCCTGCACACGACACTGGCCGCTTCCAGGGAGAACTCAGAGTCGCAGACGGAGCCCCACGTGTCTCCATGCTTCACTTCCACACGACCAGAGCAGGGGATGTCCCCTCCAACCAGTCTGGGTTCCCTGTGGCCTGGAAAAGAATCACGTTTCAGTGAGAGAGCAGATTCCCAGATTTTCCATCCCAAGGGGGGGTGAGGCAAGGAGTGAAAGTGGGCCAGGGTGGCCAGGGTGCTCAGTGAGTTTTCACACTTGTTTCTCCTGACTTTTCCAGAGCTGGGCACAGCAAAGGCCAGACCTTCCCATTCTTCACTGGACCTACCTGCCTGAGAGAGCCTAGAACTTTGCCTTGTGTGGTTATCCATCCCCAGAGGCAGCATTCCCTCTTCCCAGCATTTCACTTATGTGTTTCATAACACCAGGGGCCACGGATTATGCATGTCTGCTGTCTCTCTCTCTCTCAGTCCTGCACTCAGTTCCTGACTCACTGCAATCAAAGGTCTGTTTTAATCTTTTTGAATCATCCCATGTCAAGTGTTTCAATATGGGCCAGCAAGTTAATATGGTGGTTGGGGCACCAGACTCCTCTGTGGCCAACTATGGTTCGAGTCCCAGACCTGGGAACTTGCTTTCCCACTTTTCTTTCTCTCTTGTGCTCTCTCTGTCTATGGTGAGTGCACGTGCCCTATAGAATATTAAAAATAAGTAAATAAAAATAAAGAAATAATTATTGGATGAAAAAAGTGGTTTTTTTTTTATTTCTTTATTTTTTTGGGGGGGAGAGGTTTTGCTATAGGGCACATGCGCTTGCCAGACAGACAGAGAGAGACAGAGAGACAGAAAGCAAGAAATCACCCCCAGGGGGGATGGTCACATCGCAATCCCTTCTCCTCCATTCTCCTCTCGGGATCTTGGGCACGCACGCACACGTGCCCGGCATGAGTTTTAAGCCACCGGGTCCGGGACGTGAACTGCGGTCGACTACGTGGGAGTCCAGCGACATAGCCATTACGCTAACTGCTGGTTCCTGAAAAAAGTGTTTTAATATACCTGCAGTTTTCAAAATGATTGTCAGACTTTTTCTTCCCTTTGACATCTACACTTCATGTATGTGACCTTCCTTTTCGTCTGTTTTCTCCTCCTTTCCTTCTGACAGTGCTTTATCAAAACCCTTCATGTATTCCTTGAACCAAGGTTCTGTCCTCAACCTTTCATCTGTTCAATGGATATTTTCTTTCAAATGCAATATATTCTCTTTAATTTTATACCCATCAACATATTGCTTAGGTGGAACTTAAGATGTTCCAAATGGAATGAATTATTGTATGACAAGCTCACTGTTTTCTTTAATGGTAATCAGATCAAATTAGAATTACTTGAAATTAATCCACTTCTTTATCTCACTACAAATAATTATAATAAGAATGATACAGTGGGTCTGGCAGGTGGCGTGGTAGCTGAGACACTGGACTCTCACATTGCTGATCGTGGTTCAAGTCCCAGACCCAGTGGTTCAAGTCCCACTCCCCCCCCAACCGACTCGGTGAAATTAAAAGAAAAAGAAATAATGATAATAAATAAAATTAAATAAATAATTCTTTTAAAAAAAAGAATGGTATAGTGAACATCAAATAAGCACCTACTACACTTTAATAGATTTTAATAACCATTTAACAAACACTATTTCATTTAATCCTTAAAATTGTCTTGCAAGATAATTATTATCCCAATTTTTTTCAGACAAGGAAACTAAAGCATGGAAAAGTAGAATAATTTGCTAAGTGAATTAGTGAGAGGTCAGGATTTGAAGCCTGGCAGTGTATTCTAGAGCTTAAAATCTTTTTTTTAAAAAAATTTTTTTAAGAGAGATTTTTGCTATAGGGCATGTGTACTTGCCCGAGAGCCCAAGAGAGGCAGAGAGACGGAAAGTGAGAAATCACCCCCCAAGTGGGATGGACACGCCGCAATCCCTTCTCCTCCATTCTCCTCTCGGAAGTTTGGGGGCGCACACACACATGCCAGCATGACTTTCAAGCCACTGGGTCTGGGACTCAATTGGTGGTCAACTATGGTAGAGTCCAGTGACCTAACCACCACGCCACCTCCTGGTCCTGAGCCTACAGTCTTGACCCCCACAATACAGTGCACATGTAGAAAACCAGCAATACAGTGCACATGTAGAAAACCAGCAATGCCTGTCAGCGCCCCGGCACATTGCCTCTTCTCTACATCTATTGCTCTGCCTTAGTGTAACTTGTTAGCCTCTCTTACGGGGGCCTGTGCAAATAGCTTCCTAACATGTCTTCTTGCTTCTGAGTCCTGTCTCCAAGCAATCTATGCCATGACTATAAATATAGCATTAAATTTCAAGCATTTTGACATGATTTCTTTGTCTCCAAGATAATTCAATGTTTCCTTGCCATCTATGCAATAATTCACCCTTCCAGCAAGTATTCCTAAGCACCTACAATGCATCTGACTATGCTTTAGGCATCTGAGGTTAGGTAGGCTGAGAACGTCTGGAATAGAGTTCAGTATTAGTGAAGATAGGTTGTACTAATCATCAGAATCACTTCAGCTCATATTTATTTATCATTGGCTGTGTAGTTATTGGGAGGAAATGGCAGCACAAAGAGCTTTAGCAGATCCCCAATATCACCCAGCTAGTAAAATGAAAACACCAATTCCCCACACTTTTTTCTTTTTTCTTTTTGGAGAGGTTTTTCACTGTGTGCACACACGCATGCGCCCGGCGTGAGTTTTAAGCCACCAGGTCCGGGACGCAAACCACGGTCGACTATGTGGGAGTTCAGCAATATAGCCATTACACTAACTGCTGGTTCCCCACACTTTTTTTTTTAAATGGAGTATTGCATGTCTTTTTTTTTTTTTTTTGGAGAGGCTTTTGCCATAGGGCACGTGCACCAGCCAGCCAGAGAGAGACAGAAAGCGAGAAATCACCCCCAGGGGGATGGCCATGCTGCAATCCTTTCTCCTCCGTTGTCCTCTTGGGATCTTGGGCACGCACGCACACGCACCCAGAGTGGGTTTTAAGACACCGGGTCTGGGACTCGAACCACGGTCAACTACATGGGAGTTCAGCGACATTGCCATTACGCTAACTGCTGGTCCTTTTTATGTCCTTTTAAAAATTATTATTTATTTTACAATTAAAGTATGAATTTATTTTGGTACAAAAACTTTTTGAAATGTATACATAGTTTTCCCATTACACATATTCCCATGAGCTTTTTTTTTTTGAAACTTTTTAAAATTAATGAATTTACATTCATTTCCCACACTTTAAAATGTTCTATGTAGTTACCTCAGAAGCATTAATATCTATTACTCTACCAATGATACCCAGTGCCCCAGCCTAATGATGCTTAGATATGCCATGCTTTTCCAGGCTCATATGCCTCTGCAGAAACTCTGCGTATGCTAGTCAGAGACAGTGAGAGGGAAAGTGAGAAATCACCCCCCCCAGGGGGGATGGCTTTTCCACAATCTCTTCTCCTACATTCTCCTCCAAGGATCTTGGGCACATACCTGGCATGATTTTCAAGTCACTGGGCCCAGTACTCAAACTGCAGCTGGTCAAGTGTGAGTCCAATGATGTAACTACTCCGCCATCTGCTGGCCCCTTAATTACTTTTTTTTGCCAAACAGAGGAAATGCTTTTGAAATTGAACCTTCTAAAGGTCCTAAGTCCTTTCTAGATGCTTGTTGTCAAATATCACTAAATTTTGTGATTGATGTTATTAGCTCATGATATAGATACACCATCAGCCCTCACCAATTTGCATACTCTGATTTCTTTTCAGATCACATGAATCTTTAATCTGATACTAAAATGCCTTAGAAATGTTCTGGATATGGCTGAGATGGAGATCAAACTTGAACTCTGAAATATTGGTTTCCTTGACTAAAAACGAAGATTTTTCTACTGAAGCTTCTCCCTCCAGATTCATTTCTAGTGGGTAGGGCTACTTCTGTCTCATTCTCTCCATTTATCTCTGTCTCTCTCTATCTCTCTGTATGTCCCTATGATTTTTGCTTTTATTTTTTTAAGGTAAAGTATTCTCTGGGCTCTCAAGATCCTCCTTTATTGTGCTAATTGGTGCCTTTCCCCATTCCATTTAGGAATGGCACAATCCCCGGCCCATGCTGAGATGGTTACTGAACTTGAGCTGTGAAATACTGCTTTTGTGCTGTGTGTATGCATGGCACATGGTTTTCACTTTTTAAAATTAAAATATAAAGTTTTTTTAATTATCTTTTTAAATTTATTCTTTTTTATTTTATTTTTTCTTCTTTCCTCTTCTCTAATTCTTTTCCTTTTTTATTTATCTTTATTCCTGTCTATGCACTAAGTGTCTAGACAGATCCAAGTCAACAAAATCTGAACATCTGAATATGATTAGGGTCAGAATATTCCTCAATTCCCACTGAATCTGATGCACAAAGAGTGAAAAATGAAACGGAAGAGAGATTGCAGATAACCACCTCCTGCACACCTCTGAATGCTTAGATTGAACTTCAAGAATTAGGAAGAAACACATCATCCATCAAATGATTGAAATCACCACAGGGGCACAAGAAATATGGGAAAGCAAGAAAATACCTCTCCTCCAAGGGAAAAGAATAACTCCTCTACATCCTCAGACAGTATAATAAAACTCATGGAAATTTCAGATAAGGAATTTAGAATATTCATAGTGACAAAGCTAACAGAGATGGAAGAGAAGAGAGACAATGAACTACAGAAGAGGCAGGAGAATGGGGCTGATGAATTCCAGGAGGTGAGGAAATACTTGCAAGATCTAAAAGAGGAAATACACACAATAAAAAAAGTATCAAATGGACCTGTTAGAGATGAAGACTATAATACAGAAAGTAAAAATCTCCCTTGAAAGTATTAAAAGCAGACTAGATTACACAGAAAATCAAATCTCAGATGTAGAAGATAAAATACTGGCCTAGAAAAATCCACCACAAAAACTGAGAAAATTGCCCCCCAAAATGAGAATTATATACAAGAAGTACTAGATACCATCAAACATCCAAACAGTTGGATAATTCATATCCCAGAAGGTGAAGAGACTTATAAGGGCATTGCTAATCTATTCTGTGAAATCCTAGAGGAAAACATTCCAAATCTGGAGAGGCATTCGGAGATCCAGACCCAAGAAATACAAAGGACCCCAAATAAATCAATGCAAGAAGATCTTCTCCAAGACACATTATAGCCAGATTGACCAAAACCACAAAGACATTAAGATTGGCAAGAGAGAAATGTCAACTTACCTACAAAGGATATCCCATCAGGCTAACAGCAGATCTCTCATCGGAAACAATGTGAGTGAGGAAAGAATGGGAAAATATATTCAAAGTGTTAAGGGAAAAGCAATTTCAACCAAGAATACTGTACCCAGCAAGATTATCCTTCATGTGGGAAGAAAAGACAAGAACATTCTCAGATAAACAAAACCTGAAAGAATTTACCAACACCAGACCAGATCTCTAAGAAGTTCTCAAAGGAGTGCTATACCAGGAAAATTAAATACAGACACAGATATAAGAGTTCAAAACTTAAGAAAATGGCCAACTTAATCATAGGGATAAGTCTGGAGTTGAATATTATACACCAGAATTTAATCATGAAGATTGAACCACAACAGAAGATAGATTAAGTACATGAGACTGAACTGGTGAAATAGCATTTTATGACTTTTGGCTGAAACATTGCTGATTTTCTTCTAGGCTTTGTTTTCTGATTTTAAGAATTTTTGTCCTGTCTTGAGCTGTTGATAGGTTCATGTACTTACTATTTGAACAGAATCATAACCTGTTTCCTGGCTTTAAGTTTTAAGTAAAGTTCCTTAGCATTTCTTTGATTTATTAAAGCTAAAACTGCTTTTCTTGACATTAAAAAATGTCAAGGGTGCACGTGCCCTATGGCAAAAACCTCTCCTCCCCCCCCAAAAAAAAAGAAAAAGAAAGAAAAAGAGAAATGTTCTGGATATGACTATATTTTGTACTTTGTATAGAAAATTTCACCAATTATCCATTAAGTATTTACAAAGCAAGTCTGTATAGGTTCTTAAATGACATTTTTTCCTCATCAAGTTTATGAATATTTTTACATGAAAGCTGTTGAATACATTTTGGTGCCTGAATTTTTCTACTTTGATTCATATGTTAAGCCTTCCACTGGCAATAAATAACTAAATCTCTATCTTTTTTTTTCTAAAAAAAATGAATAAATTAAGAACAAACATAAGAAATAATTATTAGAATTACTTCCTTTTGTTTAGTAATAGATAATATATGCAACATTTTCTTTTTTTAAATTATTTTTTTATTTAACTTTATTTATTTGATTAGAGAGGGACAGAGAAAGAGAGAGAGTGATAGAGTGAGAGAGAGAGAGTGAGAAAGCAAGCTGCCAGGTCTGAGACTCGAACCATCATTGGCCATGTGGGTGTCCAGTGCCCGTAACCACCACACCACTTGCTGACTCCAACAACATTTCTTTTTTCTTTTTTTTTTTTTGCTATACAGCACATGTGCTAACCAGAGAGAGTGAGACAGAGAGACAGAAAGTGAGAAATCACCCCCCCCCAAGGGGGAATGGCCACACTGCAATCCCTTCTCCTTCATTCTCTTCTTGGGATTTTGGGCATGCACACATATGCACCTGGTGTGAGTTTAAGCCACCGGGTCCGGAACTCCAACTGCAGTTGATTACATGGGAGTCCGGTGACATAGCCATTACGCTAACTGCTGGTCCCACAACAACGTTTTCTTTTAAGAAAATTTTGCCATAGGGCACATGTGCTTATTTGAGAGGGAGATAGAGAGAGGCGGAGAGAAGAGAAATGAGAAATCACGCCCTAGGGAGATGGCCATGCTGCACTCCCTTCTTCATTCTCCTCCTGGGATTTTGGGCATGCACACACATGCACCCAGCATAAGTTTCAAGCTTCCAGATCTAGGACTTGAACCATGGTTGGCCATTTGGGAGTCCAGAGCCTCAACTACCATGGTACCTACTGGTACCTATATGACATGATTTAAAGAAGCAGTATATTTTCCTCATTTAGTATTTTCCAGACTCCAAAGAAGTATGAATCATTATAGTACTGAGGCCAGCAGGTGGTGTGGTGGTTAAGGTATTGGATTCTCGCATGGCCAACCATGGTTTGAACCCTAGACATGGCAGCTTGAAAATCATGTTGGCACCTGTGCATATGTGTCCAAAATCCCAAGAGAGGATGAAGGAGAAGAGACTGTGGCATGGCCATCCTCCCAGGAGGTGATTTCTTACCGCCCCCCCCACCCTACAATTAAGCACATGCCCCCTATGGCAAAAAAAAAAAAAAAAACCTTTAAAAATATGATGTATAGTTCTAGAATTATTTCTCAAACCTAAACAAAAAATACAGGACTATTTGAATGAACCGTTTCTTAAAGTCAGAAATCTTCTATAGCACATACACAGACATCACAAACAAAATGGGATTTAAAGTAATTTTGTGATCCAAATTTCCTAGAATTCTTTCTGGCTGGTTTATCTACACTGACACCAGAGCTAAATTATTGTTTATTGTTTTATCTTTCTCATTTTCCTGGCTCATTAAATTCTTCTGAGCCTTTTCAGCATCACTTCAACAAAGTTAACATTTGTAGCAATATGATTAGCCTAAAATACTAAAGATTATCCATAGGCCTAACCAACTCATAGCTTACTTTCAAGCTTTTTAAAGGACTGCAGTGAAATACACAGAAATATTTAGAAAGAAGAAAATTCTTTCACAGTAAGATAGGGAGACCCCAAGGTTAAGTTATGTTAGCTTATCCAATAGAGTCATTTTTTTTTTTGAGAGGTTTATGCTATAGGGCACGTGCACTCTCCAGAAAGACAGAGAGACAGAAAGCGAGAAATCACCCCCCAAGGGGTATGACCACACCTCAATCCCTTTTCCTTCATTCTCCTCTCAGGATCTTGGGCACGCACACATACGCGCCCGGTGTGAGTTTAAGCCACCGGGTCCGGGACTTGAACTGCAGTCGATTACGTGGGAGTCCAGCGACATAGCCATTACACCAACTGCTGGTCCCCAATAGAGTCATTTTTAAAAGAATTTATTGACATTTCCATGAAAGACATACTTAATTTTATCTTTAAATGTTTAATTTCCCTTAATCCTTTGCACTTACATTGATTTTAAAATTACTTGAAAGGCAAAGGGGACAAAAAACCACACATCTCTGTCCAAGATACAAAATGAATTCTAAACTTCTCTGACTCCCCCAGTGCAATCAGTACAGATATTTTTCTGGTTTCTTGTGGGAGAGCTAATTTACAGACTAATGCTTCTTTTCAGTCTCAAAAACAAAACAAAACAAAACAAAACAAAAACTACTGGGAAGTTATGTTTTTGGAATTAAATTTCTTAGCAGGTTGAAAGTCTTACCTGAGCAGGTAATTTTGGCTTCTTCGTAATGGTCACAGGAAAGTCCACCCCATTGCCAATTGTGGCAGTCCCAAAGAGAAGTTTCATTTCCATGACAGCTGCTTAAAAACAGCCATGTGCTTGTTGGCTTGACTTTGGAGAATCCTTGGTAGGAAGTCTGGAGGGCAGAGCCGCATGCCAGCTGCTTGCAGACCACATCGGCTTCTTTCAGGCCCCAGCCTCTGTCACACACCTTCCCTACCAGCTTCTGAATCTCCACCTCCACCGTCCCAGCACAGCGGCTGCCCCCACCTTTCAGTCTCAGCTCCAGATCCGACCCATCTGCAAAAGAAACGTAACGGTAGGCCCTGGATGCTGAAGCGAATCCTTCCCTCCTGGACACTGAGATGCTAGAAGGTATGGCTTACCTCTCCCTGGCTTTTTGAGAAACAAGTATACTTGGTTAGAAATGAGACAGTAGTTGTAAGGGTGAATAAAAATGGTCAATGTTAGGGAAATACAAGCAATTCAGCTATAAATGAGATTCTTATAAAATCTTGGCTCTCTGAATTCCTGGTAGATTTAGAATTCAAGGTGTGGTTCCTAACAGCTTTATGAATATTTACACAGAGAACAGAGTCAGACAACCTTCTCAGTTTGAGTAAAGTATGTGTTCAATATTCCTCACAACCCTAAAGGAACTTTACAACAAGAAATTTATTAGGTTTTCCTTCCTTCCTTCCTTCCTTCCTTCCTTCCTTCCTTCCTTCCTTCCTTCCTTCCTTCCTTCCTTCCTTCTTCCTTCCTTTCTTTCTTTTTCTTTCTTTCTTTTCTGGTATGGTACATGCGCTCCTCAGAGAGAGAGAGGGAGAGGGAAAGTGAGAAATCACCCTCTTTGGGGGATGGTCACACTGCGGTCCCTTTTCCTCTATTCTCCTCCTGGGATTGTGGGCATGCATGCAAACCGAGCTATAGTGATTTTTAAGCTGCCAGATCTGGGACTTGAACTGCGGTCGGCCATGTTGGAATTTGGCACCTTAACCACAGCGCCACCTTCTGGCCCCTATTAGGTATTTCTACTTGTTTTGTACCTATTCCTACTCCTAATGAACATCGGTCTTTCCCTCTCTGCTTTTCTTTGTTTTGTTTTCGCTTACCTGAACACGTCACACCAGCATCTTCATTATGATTGCAGTAATGTTTTCCCCATTCGCGGTGTCTACACTGCCAGAGAGCAGATTCGTCACCCTGGCAGGAAACGCTGTCAAGCCAAATGTGTCCAGATCCCGCACTGGCATTAACTCTGCCGGTGGCGGTGACGGCAGTCGGACATCCCATGTGCTTACACGTTACAGCAGCGTCACTACTGTCCCAGCCGTCATCACATACCGTCCCCCATTCTCCTTGGAATTTCACTTCTAATCTTCCTGAACAGTTGGAGACTCCATCCACCAGTCTCAGACTCAGATCTGCTCCGTCTGTAACGGGGACACAGAACAAGTCAGTGAAAACAAAACAAGAGCAAGGGAAATGGGCGACCCACACTGCGAGAGGGGAGCGTGGTTCTGGCTCAGGCGTCTGGAGCTTCCCTGAACGCGCCAGGTGCACGTGTGCTGGGGATCCGGGACCGCGCGGCCTGCAGCCTGTTAGAGTGCCTGCCTCTCTGTCTCTCATTCGTGGGAGAAAGAAATGGGAAAAAGAATAATAGAGCAGGGAGAGATACAAGTGGGGACAGAGAAAATCATAACATACTACCACTTAAAATCACTGAAGATGAAGAGAACTGAGTCAGAACTAAGACAGGACTTTTCAGTACCCACACAGCAGGAAGCTTTCAGTACCTGGTTCCCGAGCTGGATTTTAGTAGACGCCTGCTTGTTAGATCACAGAGTTTTGGAAAGAACTGTCTGCTTTTTCTTGTGAAAGCATATTCGTGAGTCTAGGGGGTACCCACACCCTTCAGTTTATCTCCACAGGCACACTTCCTTCTACCTCTGACGGCATTGGGTCTACACCACCTGGAGTGTATTACATCCGCGCTCTTTGGGGAGCACTACCTTACTTAACCAGCAGAGCTAAGAGAACAGGCATCACCATGACTACATCTGCTTTCCTGAAGTCAGTATTTGTCATGGAACTGACCTGGATTCTGGAGACTATCTCATGAAAAACATAAATAGCCCTCTGGCAGTTTCTGTCTTTGTTGGAGTCACAAAGTTCATTGTGATTCCTCAGCACACGGGTAACATACTGAGACAAAAAGGGATGAGGAGCCTGGAGAGATTTCTTTCTTACATGCCACAGGGTGTCTGCCCTTGCCACAAGCCCTTCCCCTCCATTCTCCTCTCAGGAGTTCCGGCATGCATGCAGGTGTTTTTCAAGCGGCCAGGTCTGGAACTCAAACTGCACTTGGCCATGTGGAATCCAGCCACCTTAACCACCACGCCACCTGCAGGCCTGGCCTAGATGCATCTTGAAGGGTAAAAGAGAGTGGAAGGTGGATACTGGTTTTTTTTTTTCCTACTCTAAATCTTCACTTTCTTCCACTAACAAATTATCTTTCCTATAGGAATCTCATACTTTCTGATTCAGGCTATAGATGGTCACTTTATTTAACAAGGAAAAAGCCAATTTTAGAAATGGGGGCTGGCAGGTGGTATGGTGGTTGTGATGCTGAACTCCCACATGGCCCACGGTGGTTCAAGTCTCAGACCTGGTGACTTGCTTTCTCACTTTTCTTTTCTCTCTCTCTCTCTGTCTCTGGTCGAATTAAAACAAAAACAAATAATAATAACAAAGTTAAATAAATAAAAAAATTCTGGAATTCTTGTTAAATTAGTTGAACTTGGGACCAGCAGATGATATAATGGTTATGTTGCTGGACTCCCACATAGTTGAGCATGGTTCAAGTCCTGGACCTGGCAACTTACAACTCACGCCAAAATACTGAGAGAATGAAGGAGAAGAGATTGCGGCATGGCCATCCCACCATGGGGTGATTCTCGCTTTCTGCCTGTGCCTTTCTCTGTCCTCTTGTGAGCCCATGAAACCTATCGCAAAAAAACTCTCTTAAAAAAATTAGTTGAATTTAATTTTCTGCATTTGTAGAGAGATCAATGAAAGAGAGAGAGAGACTGATCTGGTGAGGATAGGGATATTTTTACTCAATGATATTTTTCTACATGTTCTCTAAAGTTCAAGACACACTAAGTCTCCTTGAAACTAGAACTGAGGTGACAGAGAAAGAGTGGTGCCCCTGCATACACCTCCCTGCTGTCCCTGCCCCTGGCTCTAAGTGTGGAACATGAGTCTTGAGACAGACAGGGTGCATGTTCATAAGATGGCCCTGGCACAAATGAGGTTTTAATAGAATATCTAAAGATTTTTGTTTTGTTTGTGTTTTGTGTCATTTTGTCATTGTTAGTTTTTAATCATTTGATGTGGAGAATTTGAAGGGATGATTTGGGAAGGGTTGTGTCAGATGTGTCTATAGGGGTGACTTTGGTTGTGTTGGAAGATGATATGATACGGGAGAGTGCAAGGGTTATGGTTAGGGTTATGGTTACAGGATAGTGTTAAGGTTACGGTTAGAGTTTAAGGATAGTGCTAGGGTTAGAATTAGCGTTTGAGTTTAGGGATAGTGTTAGGGTTAGGGTTTGATTTTAAGGATAGTGCTAGGGTTAGGGTTAGGGTTATGATTAAGGGATTGTTTTAGGGT